AACTGATACATCTACAATGCAAAGTCAGCAATAAGGATCAGGGGAAATTTCAGAAGAAGGAGTAGAAAGATCGTAAGAGCTCAAGATCCAGGACACCTGCTGCAAGATAACATTTTTAATGACAGAGAGGAGACTGCACACTTAAAATCTCAATAATATGGTCGACTAAACGAGACCTGCATAATGATGATACCAGTTGACATGCCATTTTGAATGGGGTTAATTTCACAAGGTTTCCATCTCTAGATGAAGAGCTAGATCAATCAATGACTGCAAAGACAGGGAGAATCAGTTTTCTTGATGGATGAGCTTTTGCATAGGTTATCTAATCCCAAATTCTCAGCCCCAAATGAATTTACGTTTAAGCAATTCTAAACAGACCCTGTAGGACACACATACACACAGGCATACATGCACATACACATAAAATTAAAGAAGTCGTAATTTTGAATGGAGTCAGGGGAAGACACTGGGGGAATTGAGGAGACAAAGAGAGGAGGAAATGATGTAAATAAATATAGTACTCATAGTACTCAAGTATAAAATTCTCAAAGTTTTTTTTGTTGTTGTTTTTGTTTTTTTCAGACAGAGTTTCTCTGTGTAGCTTTGGCGCCTGTCCTGGATCTCACTCTGTAGCCCAGGCTGGCCTCAAACTCACAGAGATCCACCTGGCTCTGCCTCCTGAGTGCTGGGATTAAAGGCGTGCGCCACCACTGCCTGGCTCTAAAAGTTTTAAATACATTTTTTTAAAAATGAATACTATTCCCATATTGTGGTGGGTACATCAATTGACCTAAGACTGACCATCCTCTATCAGGAAGGAACTCTACCAGTAGAAGGTCTTTGAACCAAAACATTGGTAGTTCCTCCGAACGTCAGCCTACTGGTGCACACTAGAGGGTTTGAACACATCTTTCTATAAAGATTTGAGGAAATTTCTCATATCCAGTATCTCCAAGTATTGACATACGCCCTGCTGCTTGTGTTCTCTTGAGAAGCTGAATGCGACTGGGAAGGGAGATGACAAGCCCCGGGCCCAGGCTCTCCTTGAACGGTGAGAAAGCCTCACAAGCATTTGCTTTTCTTTGCCCACTCCTAACTCTGGTTCCAAAGAGGTCATTCTGGGTGCTCTGGACTGCTCCTGAGAGAGGAGCCAAAGACAGATGCCAGCTTCCTCCTATCTGCCAGCCCTGGATGCAAAAAAAACTTCACTTCACACAGGCAAAATCCCCCCCCATTTAATTTTAGCAGAAACATTGTAAACATTTTAAAAGTTTTTACTTATTAATCATTTTGTACTTCATATGCATCAATAGTTTCATTTTATATATTTCATAAGATTCTCAAAATGTTCAAACGAATTCCTGGCAAGTGGAATGAGAAATCAAAATGAATAAATAAAGATTTGGCAAACCACTTCTGAAAGATTGCCAGCTCTGAGCAGAGTCTTTGGTTCCTTCATGGTTGTTCTTAACCTTTTCCCCTCTGCCTCCATTTCCCCTGCCTTCCCCTCTTCCCTTTACCCCTTTCTTTTTTCTTCTCTTCCCCCTCTCCTCCCCTCCTTACTGTTCCCTACCTCACACCCTCCTATTCTCTTCTTATTCTTCATTTCCTTTCCCTTCCCATGACTAAAACTGGAAAGGTTTATGAAGCTCACAGTTGAAGGTCCATCATGGCTGGAAGTCAAGGAAGCAGGGGTGAGAAGCAGCTGATCACATCCCACTGGCTATCAGAAAGGAGCAGTAACTGCTTCCATTCTGCTGCTTGCCCTCTTTTCCCATTGACACAGCCCAGGGAATGGTCCAGCCCACAGTTACAATGGATCTTTTCACATCAGCTAGTCTAATGAAGACGATCCCCTACAGCTGAGACCGATTCCCCAGCTAGCTCTCCGTTCTGTCAGATGGACAACACTAACCGTCACAGCTGACCTTTCCACTTTCTTCTCGTAGGAACCACTCTTGTGCTGATGTTCTTGGAGCTGAGGATTTCCCCACTATGGATCCCCGGAGGAGCATTTGTTCACTTTCGTGTGAAAAACCTCCTCTGACCTCGTGGGGGGCTTCAGCCTCCTCAGGTCTCGGTGGCCAGATGTTAATAGGTGTCTTCTCTTCCTGTCCTGCCCTTTAGCTTCCAGACGTAAAGAAAGAAAGAGAGAAAGGAAGAAAAGAGAGAAGGAAGCCAACGAAATCTTTCACATTGTGATATATTACTTTTACAACTCAAAATTGTTTTTAATGAAGACAGAGAAAAGAGGGACTTTTATAGAGTGAGAAAGCTGGGCTTTCAGATTCCTTGGATGATACATTTAAGGTTTTCATTTGATTTATTTCCACGCCCCTCTCCTCTTCCATAAATTGGGGATGGCAATCAAAACATCTAGAATTTAGAATTTGGGAGTTCTTGGGTTTTTAAAATACCAAGAAAATAATACAAACCTAGAGCAGGTGAAATGAATCAGGTGGTAAAAGCATTTGCTGTGCAAGCCAAGCAACCCTAGTTCAATCACAACACACTGCTTAAAGGTGGACGGAGAGGACCAGCCCCACAAAGTCATCCTCTGAATTCTACACATGGACAACTACAGTTAGAAAGGAAACTTGGGAATAAAAATTTTTTTCAATTTTTTTTTCTTAAAAGTTTTGGCCTGGTTTCTGACTTTCCTCTTGCAGAATGTGTAGCCCCCAAAGGTATACTGAAGCGATAATGAGTTGTGTCGCAAGCAGCAAAACAAAGGGGCTGAGTACTTAAGGTTGGGAGTCGGCCAGCTGAGGGTGCAGTGCAATCCCCATCAAAATACCAACACAATTCTTCACAGACCTGGAAAGAGTCTTACTTCTTTAATGAAGCTGCACAGACAATGCCCAATGTCTTTGTTGAGATAGCTCATTCTGATTCCTCCTTTGCTTGTGGTCACAGGCCTCTCTTGCTTTAGCAGCATGCCTATGGCAGGGCTCTGAACCTGGCCTTCTAATGTCACTGTGCCATCTGCTTTGTGTTGTGCCATTTCCCCGGGTCATAACCAGCGAGTAAAGCTTAAGTTTTTGCTTGACAGGTAACCTATTCCTCTTCTTCCAAGTCTTTGAAAAACTGTCTCGTTTTACTCTAAAAAAAGTACGTTTATTTGCCTCAATAATTCTGAAACAGAATAGAGTGTCTCTGAGCTTGCCTTAGCAACTTTAATGTTTCCCATTAAAATCTCTGATGGAACACAAACACACACAGGAGAGATCTAGTGTAATTGTGTTTCATGTGCTTAGATTTTAATTTGTAATATAGGCAATGAGGAGTAGAGACCTCACATATCCTATAAAGTGTCTTTTTCCATAGCATTCACTCCTTGAGATCTATGACTCTTTTAAATCTGTGACTTTTTTGGAAAATTGTGTGCTGGAAGGATACCTCCTTCAGGCTAGCATCTTCCACCAAAATGGTGTTTGGAATTTTAAAATAACTAAGGGTAAAGGATACTGAGTTTGTCCCTGGAGTGTCCATTGGACCTAAGAATTTCAGAGGGGTTTGTGGGGGGAAGGCTGGGGCTGGAGGAGGGAAGAGAGGGGGAAATCAGTTGTTGGTATGTAAAATGAATAAAAAAAATTATTAATTAAAAAAAGAATTTCAGCTGTGTGCAATGGTCAAGGACCATATATGTTCATGTCTGCTTTCCCCATGCCAGACAAACTGTGGATACGCTGGACACAAACATCTCTTGAAAGTAATCAAATGAGTGAAGATCAGACAAACCTGCTCACCCCTTTTCGTGATTGTTTAGTTAATGTTTCTATTGCTACAACAAAACACCATGATCAAAAAAGCAAGTGGGGAGGAAAGGCTTTATTTGGCTTACACTTCCAAATCCTAGCCTGTCATTGGAGGAAGTCAGAACGGAATTCAAGCGGGACTGGAACCTGGAAGCAGGAGCTGATGCAGAGGCCGTAGAGGGAAGCTGCTTACCGGCTTTCTCAGCCAACTTTCTTGTAGAACCTACAACCACCAGCCCAGGGATGACCCTACCTACCATGGGCTGGGCCCTCCCTCAGTGATCACTGAGAAAATGCTTTACAGCTGGACCTCATGAAGGCATCTCCTCAGCTGAGGCCCCTTCCTCTCTGATGACTCTAGCTTGTGTCAAGTTGACACACAACCAGCCAGAACAGTGAGGAAGTAGAAATCATTTGTAAGAATTTGGGAGTGAGTCCAGGCTGTCCTTCTAAACATATAGACAAGATATTAATTTTTGTTGAACATGAGTTCCTTTTTCTATTAGAATTATAGTAAAGATTCAAGGATCCTTTCCATCTAGTTATTTGTCTTCAGTTACATGCTGAAGGTTAAGTACATGAAAGTCTTATGCATATCATGTTTTCATGAAGAAAGCCTGCCAAGTTCTTTTTTTTTGTTTTTTGTTTTTTTTGGCTGGGGGGAGGGTTTCAAGACAGGGTTTCTCCATGTAGTTTTGGTGCCTGTCCTGGGTCTTGCTCTGTTGACCAAGCTGGTCTTGAACTCACAGAGATCCGCCTGGCTCTGTATCCCGAGTGCTAGGATTAAAGGCGTGCACCACTGCCACCCACCGCCCACCAAATTCTTAATTAGTTATCTCTACCATACAGCATTGAGAGCTAAACTAAGGGAACATGGTAATTTCTGAGACATTTTAGAGGTGGAGAAAGCATTTGCGAAATACCTGCTGAATGGTCAAAGGTGATAAGTAAGAACAGTAGCATATATTATTCACAGACCACTTACTGCACCTTGTACTATGTTAAGAGTTCTGTCATTTCATTTTTAAAATTACATTAAGAGTAAGAAAAATTTATGCCTCAAGATTACAATTAAGTATGTGCATAATTATTGCTTAGTAGGCATCATATAAGAACTCAAGTTGAAGTCTGCAAGACAATGGGTTCCAAGCTTTTAAACTCCCGTGCTTCTCACAAAATAATTACAGTGTAAGCCACAGACACAGATTCAGACATTCATGCCCAATAAAACCACACATAGAACTTTTAATTTTTATTTATATTTCTTAGCTCAAGAATTACACACTAGCCAACATTATTATATATTTACATGCGGAAACTGGCTGCAATAAGTTGAAATTCATGAAAATAATTCTTATGTGCTATTCATTGATAATCTTCCTTTGATTTTTACTACTGCATGTATCCCAGAGATTTTAGAAGTCCTGTTTTTAGAAAGACGTGAAAACGGATGCAATGTATCCCGCTAGTGCTTTGCATTGTCTAGCTGTTGGGGAGTGAACATGAAGTGTGTGTTCAGAAAGGCTACAAGGTCATTGTAAGGCTGATAATCACTACATTGTGAAGAAACTAGAACATCACTCCTTAGGAAAGGACAGTTCAGAACTATGCAGGAACAATTCCGTAACAGAACTATTTAAACACCCGCGCAAAGAAAAATTGTAAGTGGCATGGAATTTAAATTATAGGCAACTTTGTTTGCGTGAATTGTGTTTAAAATAAACGTGGTTGGATTCTTAATCATTGAACCAAAATATAAAATGAGAAAGAATACAAGCTGATGGAAATGTTGACTTGATTCAAATGGTGCAATGACAGAGGTGTGGCATCAGATGTAAGGTGGAGTGACCGGGAATGGCATTTTGCCTTAGAACTCAAAGTAATTCTTTTTCATTGTTTTGGATGTTTATCACAAAAAGTACTTCTTAAATCAAATTAGAAATTGATGTCAAAATCTTGCACATATCTAGAGAAATGTTCTCATTGAATTTCCAAAAACTAAAGCTATTAAAGGGTACAATTTTTTTCCAACTTAAAAATAACAAACACACAAACAAACAATAATTTGTTTAGGGCAGTATCTGAATTTACCCTCTATTGACTCCTTACTATATTTTAAAACCATCTTCCTACTGCATTTGGAAAAAAATATTTAAACTTTGGTGTAAAGCAGTGTCTTTTTTCCCCATTTCCTTTTTTTCTTTCCTTTTGAAAAATAATTCTGGAGTCTTTGGTTGAAAGGAATAATACTATCTAAAGACAGAATGCTACTATACATTAAAAAAACTCATCTAGCATGCACTGTATGTAACAAATTTCTGGAGCTGGCATGAATAAACATTTTTTTGTTTTCTGCAGTACGGCTACAAACCTCTAGTTTTGGGGAAAAGCTATCATTGGCAAACTTTGGCTTTTTTTTTTTTACTCTAGCTTAGAAAAACGACTAAGTTAACCCGAACCACTTTTCCTTTTCTCCAGTTGCCATTTCCAAAGCATCTCTTGGTTGTTAATATACACCAAAACAATGCTACATTTCCCACTGAGAGTGAGAAAATAGGAGTGAAAAGAAGGGAGTGGAAGACAGGTGTGTGTGTGTGTGTGTGTGTGTGTGTGTGTGTGTGTGTGTGTGTGTATGTGTGCATACTCATACCTCTATGTGAGAGACAGCAATGGAAATCCTTCTGTCTGGGATTCCCAAATCATTTATGCAAAAGGGTGTTTAAATTACTCTGCTGGGGCACTCCAGTAAACATACTCAGTAAAAAAAAAATAGATAAAATTAAGACAAAAACCCTAAACAGTATCTATTGACTATTAATTTACAGCATCTTTAATTATATACATATTGTAACACATCAATGTAAGCCATAAACAGAATTAGTACATTGCCTTACCATAAAATACAAATTAGAAGTTAAAAATATTTAGGAAATCTGTTTAAATATTTACACACACTCAGTGAAAGTCATGGTTGCTTACATAACAGACTCTGTACACTTGGCAAAATGGCGTGATTGCTACAGTTGTAATTTTCCCTGACCAACATGGTGAGGGTTGGTTTCTTTTTTTTTTTTTTTTTCTTTTTTCTCCTCCCAGGAGGATTTTTTTTTTCCATTTTCTTATTTTTTTTTTAATTTTAAATCACCAATGAACAACGTTATCTGTGTCCTTAGAAAGGGAGCAAATGGACATTTGACAAGCAATGCGGACACTAGTTAACACCTGCTGTTCTGAGGTACAGTACTAGTGGGGTGTCCAGCTGGGAGATGTTCTTAGGAACTGTAGGCATTGATTTGCTGAGAGAGATGTTCAGTACCCTGTGTTACTTATGTCAGAATGGTGACTATTGGTTGCCAAATTAGAAGAAAAAAAAATACTCATATACAGACTCAATGAAGGGAGCAACTCATTAGCTTATTCCTTTTGTTTCTGACATATGAATGCATACATATGCATGTGTGTTTACACGGATCTCTATATACACATATACACATGTAGATACGCTATAAGACCTGTCTACGTTGATGTTTTCAGTTTTTGTTTTTTAGCATGAAATTAGCCATAAGACTGAAACACAGTGACCTACAGAAAATAGAAGTGGTCATAGTTGCCAATTTAAAGCAGGTCTTGCTTAAAATAACCATGATTCATTTCTCCATTAACTATTCCACTGCACTTTTGTGATGTCTTGTGCTTTTGTAAGCTGACAGATCATTTCTGTGTGGTCCTAATGCTAGAATGTAGAGTCTTTTGGTTTAAAAAAAAAAACAATCATTATTGTTATCGTTGTTATTATTTTACTTAGCACTGCTCTTGTTGAAATGAAGAGACAGAAGGACTAGATGACACTGCTTGAGTCCTATCCCCTGTTGTTAAATTGCAGTAGAAATAATTGTAACATTCCTATGCAAACACATGGGTATGTTGCATGAGATTTCAGTTCAGAAGTGCATTTCATACCTACAAGCAGTCATGTACAATATATATATATACAGATTGAGATCAGAGATTTCTTTTAGACTGTGCATTTGAGAGTCGGAATTTGCCTATTAATTTCTCAGAGATGAAAAAAACACCTTAATTGCTGGCTATCTGGTTATTGTATAATCAAAAGAAAAAACTATACATATGTATAAACTGATTGTAATACCATTTTAAGATTGCCAAAACACACCTTGGTGGTCCTTTAGTTTAATTACTGGGTAGCAAACTAATTGGTTTTCCCAGATTCATCAGACCTAGCACCCTTTCCTGCATTTCTAATTCAACTAAATATGTAGCTTAAAAATAAATTCTACATGGATCACTATTCCTGGACAGGATGAATCAGTGTTTTCTTTCTACATGGTTATTGAATGCCAGCATATGGTTTCACTCTAGAACATTGGTTCCAAGGTTCCATCTTCTCTCTGCATTAGTTAAATGCAGAGATGTGTTTCCTCGTCATATGCATGTGAGGCCCATGCTGTGAGGCCCATGCTGTGAGGCTGCTTCCCTCCATTTTGATCTAAATAGTTTGCTTGACTTCCCTGGACATCTAAGATTTTGTTGTAATCACAAATGACAATATCTAGGATTCTTTATGGCTTTTATGGAAATTGCAAATGGGAGCCTAGATTTAGGCTCTGAATTGTCTTTAGAAAAATCTTCTCAGAATGGCGTGTCACAGGTGTGCCCCTGAGTTTATTGTTATGCTTCTTTCATGTTATTTTCGATTCGAACTTCACCCCTTGGTGACAAGGGATAGGCACTTTTATTACTGTGATCCGCAGAAATGATTGAGTAGGAGAAAGCATGGAGAAACTTGAAGGATCTCTACTCTGAGCACATGCAGAGATTCTCTGTCAGATCTGTGGTCCAGTAATTTAGTGGTGTTCAGGTACATAACCAAAACACAGGAGCCAGACTTCCCAGCATTGACTGAAACCAACCCAAACCAACCCAAACCAACCCAACCCAAACCAAACCAAACCAAACCAAACCAAACCAAACCAAACCAAACCAAACCAAACCAAACCAAACCAAACCAAACCACCCTACTATCCCAACTTTGTGAAAATGTAGAAAATGAGTGATAAATTATTTTTCCCTTTTTCTTGTTTCTCTCTAATTGTTGGAATGGAAATGCACAATAACGCTTAACATCCCAAGTTTCTGAATCATGAGGGGAAGAAAATGGGTACTTTACCTGCAGAATGATACTAGCCTTGACTCCTACGCACTTACTGGGGACCTTACTCTGAGGACAGAATTATTTTTGGATTATTTTAAAAGTAGAAATAGCAGGCATCCTCTGAGGAAATGGTCAATCAGAGCCAAACTTATAGAAAACTTAGTAATTCAGTATTTTCTGTAGGTGAAAGCCAGATAGGAGACCCCTATTGACAAAAAAAATAATGTATCAGCCTGTTCTCTTTTCTGTCCAGTATATGAATGTGTAAGCCCAATATAGAAAGATGCAGAATGATATAATTGGAAAGGTAGAATAAAAACAACACATCTCACCATCCTGCTTGTCAGCTGTCTATACTTCTGCAGCGTCAACCGAGAGCTCAACACTTACCATGACTTTGTTGCAATCTCATTGTCCACTAGTTCTTATGATTTGCTTGACTAAGTAGGTTGCAATATATACAATGTAAGCACCCTTTAAATCACCAGACCCAACTGACACACAGATTCCCTTTGCACATACACCTGCCTTGGAAAATACAAAGACGGAGTTTATGGCACCTAAAAAAACCCCAGCTCCTGCAGTCTCTGAAATACCTTGCTGTGTCTGACTCCTAAGTGTAAAAAGAGAATTTTGAAAGCAAGAAAAGCTAAAGATGATGATTAATCATTTAGAGCAAAGAAAAAGTTCTCTTTTTGAAATACCATATTCAATTCAGAAATAAACTGATGGGGAGACGATGTAGGGGCAGCTGACACTGAGAAAAATGACCTGCTTGTCTGTGCTCTGTGTTTGACTATTAGAATGATTCTCAATCTAACCTATCAGCCGGGCGGTGGTGGCGCACGCCTTTAATCCCAGCACTCGGGAGGCAGAGCCAGGCGGATCGCTGTGAGTTCGAGGCCAACCTGGGCTACCAAGTGAGTTCCAGGAAAGGCGCAAAGCTACACAGAGAAACCCTGTCTCGAAAAAACAAAAAAAAAAAAAAAAAAAAAAAAAATCAATCTAACCTATCAAGATACTTTTAATTCTCTTCACTAGCTATTTGATAGCTACCTGTTGATGAGATAAACGATTAAAAAGTACCTTCCTTACATTTGCTAAGCTTATGCTTATGAGGTTAGCAAAGCCATCCCTCTCATTCTACTCTTTTATGATCAGCACTGTGTGCAGACCCAATGCCATGTGCCACAGATTAAGGGCTGCACTGGCTTGTCTTGCTTTCTCTTAACAAGTCATTTCTGGATTTTTAACCCTGCCTGATCCATGCTATTAACTTATATTTTAACCACCTCGGAAATAGTTTTCTGGCAAAACATACATCTTTGCTGCTATGCATGTTCTCCTCTGAAGTCTTCCTCTGTCTCAATGCCAAATTGAAAGACGTTGCTGCTGGTTCTTTGTAGGCAAGCGAACAGAGCAGATAAATTGGTTTCCTGAGTTTCTTCTTTGAAGCTTTGCCCCACCTCCCTACTTTGATTGTTCTCCAAATACATGTGAGTCTATTAGACCCTTGTGAATCACCTGTCCATGACACCATTATCATCTGGCACAGACCTCACTGACCATATTGATGTAACATGTTTCCATTATTGCAGATAATGCTTCATAAGCACAGTGCTGTCCCAACAGCATGCCATTCTTAGGAACAATGATGGAGAGCGAAATGATCATGTCTCAGAGAATTGACTGCCAATGCTATTCAGCTTTCTAACATCTTCTAGAATCTAGATAATAACCCTCTGAGTAGGCTGTGCACTAAACTCATAAAGTGGAATACTTCACACTCAATCTTTCCAGCATGTGTATGTATCACTTGCTCTGTAACTGGAAAACCACAAGGACCTTAGTGTATTCATTCATTACTTAGTAGAAGCAACCCAAATGGTATGAAATGGACCACAGGATAGGCCAGCAACTAAGGTATTTTAAGATCACTTTTGTCCTGGATTGATGTGTTTTCCAAGTCCTACATCAGGCTGTACAACAGTTTGAGGAGTAATCTAGTCCTTGCGTCCCCATGGGAGGTTGTAGTTTAGTTCACGTAATAAAGCCAATAGACAATGTTGAAGAAGGAAAACACCACTGGGAAGAAAATGCGGGACCACCGATCTATGGCATTCACGTCAGTCAAGTCAGGGATGGTGATTTTCAGTTGAGAGGCACGTCTCCTCAGGCGACTCTTCTTTTGTGCCACATGTCGCTCCAGAGCATTGCGGCCAAAACTATGCCTAGGCAATCCGGCTTTCCGATATTGGATGCTGGAGGCATCATAGGCAAGCATTGTGCTCCTGGGGTCTCCAAGTCCCATTACTGCTTCTGATGTGGCCATCTCATTTTTTATCTCGAGAGTGCTAAGTAAGATGTTCTCATGGGGGTCCATCTGCAAGGAGGAAGAATCAGAAAAGGTATATCTGAAACCATAAGCCTTTGTTGATGCTTGCACTACAAGGAATTATTACAAGGTACTAGATACTTAAAGATGTGTCTATCATAGTGACAAAGAGAGCTAGTTTTGCTATTGTAATGCTTGACTTTTAATTGCAGCTCTGCAACTATGAGCTATTTGAGTTTCAGTTTTCCCATTTATTAGATAGTATAGATTCAACCCCAGAGGATTCCTATAATGCAATTTTTATAACAGATTAGCTAGCACTCGTTTCATAATTTCTACTTACCTCATGCAGAGAAATAGAAGGTAAGAGACATCCCTTTACATAATTTATAGTATTGATATGAACAAATGCAGAATCAACTTTATTATGTATAGCATAATAGTAGGGAATTAGCTGCACAATTATATTCATATATTTATGTAAATTATGTATTTACTGAGTATATTTATTTTTAGAATCAATTATATCAATTGTCATTTTTTTCCTTCCTTTCTGGTAGTGTTGTGGAACTGCACCTGGAGCCTTCACCATCATAGGTAAGTGTCCTACCACTGAGCCACATGCCCATCACCATTTTTTTAATTATATGATAAGAACAAGTAAATTGAATTTTCTGTGCAATGAGAAGTAAAACATTTTTGTATGTCTTACAAGAATCCAACATATACAATTTCTCTGAGGCATTGGTTATACAAGTTGGGCTTTCTACTTTGTTTCATCGGCCCTTACTACAATATAAACTAGACATGATGGGTCACTGAATATAGTTGATGCATTGACCCACTCAGAAAAAAAAATATTTTAAAAGAAAATTATTCAGTGGAGCAAGATTTTGTAACCTGAAAATTTCCCCTGGATTCAGTTCCCAGCACACACATGGACGTTTACTAGTCCCGGGGGATTCATTGCCTTCTCCTGGCTTCTGTGGGCACTGCATACACGTGTTACACATATATAACATACAGGCAGAACACTTGCACACATATAATTAAAAACAAAAAGAAATCTTTAAAAATACAAAACTATTCTATTGCAGTGTTATTGACATGTAAATTACAATGCTATGTATAAAGTAAAGCTTAATAAAAATAACAAGTAAATGAAATAAGGAAAATGTGGCTAATGAAAGGCACCGATGACATACAGAGTCAGGAGATGTGACCAATTAGTGACATTATATATTAGTGTGAACATGGATGTTGCAGAAAGCAAAATGTTACAAGTATGACATATTAGTAATTAGCTTTTTTATGTAATTTGAGGGTCCTATACTTTAATTTCAAAGCAAAGATCATTTGAGAGATAGATGCTTTAAAATACAAAACATGCAGGAGCATAATAGCTGATCAATTATTGCTCCCCTATTCAAAATTCTTTATGTTTGTTGATGGTATAATTTTACTTTTTTGGGTAGACTAACCAAAAGTACTATTAGAATTAACTTGGGAAGTTTAAAAGATGTGAAAGTGCAAATAAATATATGATGAATGAGCATTGCCACAGCAGTCTTTGTGACCATTGGTTAGTTCCCTTGGCATAAAGAAGGAAAGGGCCATTGAAATGCTTTTGCTATGTTCCATTCTAGCAACTGTTGCAACTAAATACCTGTTGCCCAAGTAGAGGCATTCACCAAAACTTCCCCACCCCAAACACATGGTAACTAAGCAGAACTATAATTCAAAGCTTGCTCTTCTAAGAATTCAAATTTGCACGTGGGAGGATAGGGCTTTTTACCACTCCCTGCAGCTCCAACAATGAGTCTACTTTCTGTTATTTGTATTTGCTGTCCTTATATCCATAAGGGAAATAACTTTTAGCATGCAATTTTTTCAATGATTTCCAGAGCTTTCCTCATCCCAACACCAGGATGTTTGCTTTATTAGAGAGTGTTACTGTAGTAAGAGAGATTACAAATCAATGCTAGATTTGGCTGTTAATTTTGTAAAACAATAGTAACAACCACAATAAAAGCTTTGGCAACTATCAAAAGTAAACTTTTCTAAGTTTTAAACAAATTATCCTTGGACAATTGATTTAACGTCAATCAGTTTCTATCTTATTATGTATGGAATTCAAGAGTTGGATTAGATGATCTCTGGAGGCTTATTATTATTTGTTTTTCACTTACAAATTCAAGAGATAGTTTCTGTGTGATTAGCAGAGTGAGTTTTATAGACTATAGATACAGTACTGAGGAAGACCACAGTGGTGTAGAGTCCTCAGCGCAAGGACCTTCAGCAGATACAACACTGGGTGCACGTTACATTGTATTTTTACATTTGTTATTTTTGACATTAGAAAGTTACACATTCCTTTATCTGTATTGAGAGGTGAGATAGGATTTGGGGAAACTGACTGAAAAGAAATAGGTAGACACTAAAGCACTATCCAAGCTGATTGTCATGACGTGATAATTGTAGTGAAAGGCATACAAGTTCCAGGAACATAGAAAATAACAACAAGAATAAATAACCCAAGAAGCACTCCAAAATTGATAACTGTTCTCATAAAGGCAAAATCACCATTCACTAGATGATCAAATCTGATCTTCTAGAATAGACTCAGATGATAACCTTTCTCCAGGTAAAGCCAATCACCTCTGTCTTATTGGAGATCCTGACAGGCTGAAGCAGGAGTTAGTTGTGGAGATGGATGAGGTGTATGGAGCACCTGTACAGACAAATGACGAGTTGCTACTCTTTGGTAGCGGTCTCCTCATTAGAATACTTTGTTGTTGTTTTTCAAGACAGGGTTTCTCTGTGTAGCCCTGGCTATGCTGGAACTCGCTCTGTAGACCAGGGTAGCCTCAAACTCAGAGATCTGCCTGCCTCTGCGTATTGAGTGCTGGGATTAAAGGTACGTACCTAGCTCAAGAATACGTGAGTCTTAAAATATGATTGCTCTTCTAGACTCAATTACCTGAGCAATAATAGGAAAGAATAAATTTATCTAAAACACTATTTTTTCCCCAGAAGATTCTTACCTAGGACCATAGAAATACAAAGTAGGGAGGAATAAGAAGTAACCATCTTCATTTATAATTTACATCTCAATTAACAGACAGGAAGGAGACTCAGGCCAGTTGTAGTTTACTGTGATATGCCTAGTAAAGTCCAGAGACATTGCTCTGGTTTTCCCAGCCAGTCCTTTTTTTTTTTTTTTTTTTTTTTTAGTTTATTTTAATTTATTTTGCAATACAATTCAGTTCTACATATCGGTCACGGATTCCCTTGTTCTCCCCCCTCCCGTCCCCCTCACCTTCCCCCCAACGCCCCCCCCCCCATTCCCATCTCCTCCAGGGCAAAGCCTTCCCCACAGACTGAGGTCAACCTGGTAGACTCAGTCCAGGTAGGTCTAGTCCCCTCCTCCCAGGCCAAGCCAAACAATCCTGCATAGGCCCCAGGTTTCAAACAGCCAACTCATGCAATGAGCACAAGATCTGGTCCCACTGCCTGGATGCCTCCCAAACAGATCAAGCCAATCAACTGTCTCACCCATTCGGAGGGCCTGATCCAGTGTGGACCCCTCAGCCATTGGTTCATAGTTCATGTGTTTCCATTCATTTGGCTATTTGTCCCTGTGCTTTATCCAACCTTGGTCTCAACAATTCTCGCTCATATAAACCCTCCTCATTCTCGTTGATTGGACTCCCAGAGATCCACCCAGGGCCTCCAGCCAGTCCTTTGAAGGACCATTTTTTCTTCTTCATCTGTTCCCGTTTTGTACAAAGCTGTCTACATTTAGCAATTATCTTCACTTTTCTCTTAAAAGTAGTTGAATTCCTCGCTGAAAAGCACTCCTCAGTGCCCATTTGTCCCACTCTTGGGATCACCAAGAAGGAGAGTGCTCTTCAGGTCTGCATGGGGGCTAAATCAGCACCTGGAATCCATTCTCTATTCTGTCTTAAGGCAGGCTGTTGTACAGTGTCCTGCTTCTGACACTATTGGGACAATCCAAGCTGGTCCAGGTGCTACCTTTGAGACTAAATCTGAACCTCTCTGATTTCAGCTTTATTGTCAACTGGGGTAAAGTAGTAACATCAGCCTTCTGGGATTGTTCGAGAGGACTGAACTGCTCTTTGTTAAAAAAAAAAAAAAAACAACCATAGCTAAGTTTATTAAAAACTCAATACAGCTGAGTACCCCAGAGTCTCTTACTCTCTGCATGCCTTCACTGTAAATGGAATATCTATAGGTTCTAGATCCCAGAGACAATGGATGCCTGTAGTGAAAATATTTGCCAGACATGACGTGACTATTGCCATGACATGAACTCATAGCAGCTGTGACTGCCTACACAAGAGCTCTACAAGATCACACCAGCCAAAACCAGCATGGATAAGAGAAGGGCTCATGAAGTTCCATCCCTGGTTGAGGACCTATTGGCTGTTGATGGCTGCTGACAGAAGGAGAGAGTTTTCTTCAGAGATGTGGCCTATAAAAGGCTATGTGGGCTCTGGTAGATGTTCCTATACCCATACATATGCAGGTAGCACTAAGTGGAATTAGTAGGTTTTAAAAAAAAAAGCATATGAAATTGAAAACAAACATGGTAGGGGAATAAGAGAGAAACTGAGTGCAGAGGGAATGGTAGTAGATTTAACTACAATTCATTATATGTGTGTATGAAATTACCAAACAATATATATCTTGATAGTTACTCAGTGAATATATAGGTTTGATCTGTAGCTGCCACTGAAAAATGCCACAGAAGCTAACCTCCAAAATCATTACTTTAAAATTAATTTTCTTTAAAATTCTGAGAGCAAGACTTAGTAACTAGTAAATACTACATGTTTAATTATAAAAATGATTTTATTAAATATAATATGTCTAGACTGCATTACATTTGGAAACAATTCAGTCTAGACTTATTTAATAATGAGATGAGCAGAAGCTTGCATTTCATTTCTTGGCTGGCTGACAGACATTACTACATAACCATGTATGCCCTTTCGTTTTAATCTACCTAGAATCTCCTGAGAGGA